CGCAGCCAGGAAGCATAAGAAAATTGCTTCAGAACGAGAAGAACCCATGTAAACCCTTGCTATGGATTATTCAGACTCTGATAGTGATGCCACGGTGGGATACAGTGATGATGAAGATTCCAGTGATGAAGTTTGCAGCGTCTCAGAGTCAGTGTGCAGAAAACGGTGTTTGCAGATACTTGGGGTGCTTTTCATGCTCTATGATTTCATTGAAAGGAATTTCTAACTCCTCCAGAAAGGCTTACAAAGAGAGCCCTACTAAACTGCATAGCTTTGCCTGTGATTACTCATTAACCAACAGTACGTGGGTGTTGCTACAGTAGCTACCTGCGCCATAGCCCGTGTTTGTTAATTGTCAGGCTGCAATCAACTAACCCACAGGTACAGCAATGGATGAGTAGGAGGTTTGGTTTTTAGAGACAATGTGCACATTAGACCCGGACTCTTGTGTAGATACAGGTACCTGACTTACTATAAAGAAGTGTGTTGAGTGTTAAGAGGCAGTATGTGTTCGGTGGATGTTTTTAATTAAGTATATTGTACATTATCATATAATTCTAGTTATGAAATTATGTTGTGGTCAACGTCAATGGGACTTCCAAAATCTCCTGTAATCTTCTGCTAGAGATGATCATATACCGTGATCTGTCAAAAAGTAAAACTCAAAGAAAGCCGTTTTTATAAATAACAGGGTCTGCCTCCTTCCTCTTTCTCTCTTCTGAGCCAGTATTACATGAAGCCCCTGCTAACTGGGCAGATGTTCTGTGTGAAACCAGGATCCTAGCAGCTATGTATGGGTAGAAGTTTAATAACCACATGGAGCTCTTAGGACCTCTGTATGAGACGAGCATGTGATGTTTTCTATCTCAATTTCATATTTCCTCAGACCCGCAAAGGAAATAAGCAGACACAGTAAGTCACAGTATTGTCAGCTTCTATGAGCTTCTAATACTGTCAGCTTCTAATACTGTCTCGTTAGAAGTTTTTACCGTCTCTCCTAAAATAAGGGGTTAGCACATGTCAGTACTAGATCAGATAGCATTCTGTCTCTCACGGGAGCAGGCTGTCTGAGTCCACAGGGACAGCATTTCTAGATACCTGCATAGACAGGCCTAATGGCATGAAACACTTTAGGAGCAGAGATACAAAGACAGTGTAGTGGCAACATGAATTTGGCATGGAATGAACTTGGCATTTAATTATTTCGTATTGTAACATTATTATAAAGCAACATCACAGGGCTAGGACATAGCCACGGATAGGAATTCAAACCCTATTAGAATCAAAATGATTTATTGATTTAGCTTTGCCCTTGAGCAGCCAGAAACATATGAATGCTGTTTTTATTAACAACTAAATATATTTTTTATGGTGACAGACATTATGACTACTTCCTGCACTGAAGTCATTTTGCATTAGAATGCATTTAGAATTGCTGTCGGATTGCAGTCTGGTAGCAGAGTGTATAAGGAGTGGACTTTTGTGGAAAGACATGAGCCCTGGAGCCAGCCAGATCTGTGTTCAAATTCCAAAGCAGCAACTCACCAGCTATGTTTGACTCTGGGTGCACTACTTAAACTTTATCCTCCTGTGTAAACCTGAGATTAAATACCCACCCTCTGCTATCTGCATTAAGTGAGGTTTGTTCGAATCACCTAATACAGTTCCTGATACATACTAGGTACTGAGTAAATGGCAAATATTATAATCTAATGATTAATATATTGCTTTTCCCCATGTTATGCTTCTTCTCTGTTTTGACATATGTTACTTTACTAGGTACTATGCCTGATTGTAGACCATAACTTACAGATTTTCCTTTTTAAAATAAAATAGTTCTAATTTCTCTTGACTATGTGACTCTTCTGACATTTTATTTTTCCCCACCTCTATTTTAAAACATTTATGTGTTTTCTTTTTGTTGCAAGAAAATTGCATTCACTTGAAAAAGTAGATCCAATTTAGGCCAGATGATATAATAAAATTTTAAAATATTGCAAATTTGTGATGAAATAATTAAAAGGTGAATATGCCCAGAGAATATATTCAGAACAAAGCATTATTTTGTATATATTATATTTTTAAAGACTTGACTAAATTGTCAAGATGGTAATATATTTTAGGAAAATTCAGATTTAATATGTTTTCTGTAAAGCTGTGATAGGTGTTCTTTTGGTTTTTTAGACTAGCAGCAAGGTGTAGTAACGTACTACCATGAGCAACCTCCTAAGAAATAAGTCATTCTTGGGGCACCTGGGTGGCTCAGTTGGTTGGGTATCTTGCCTTCAGCTCAGGTCATGATCTCAGGGTTCTGGGATCGAGCCCTACATCAGGCTCCCTGCTCAGCGGAGATTCTACTTCTCCCTCTGCAGCTCCCCCCTGCTCCTGCACTTTCTCTCTCTCTGTCAAATAAAAAATAAAACCAAAGAAAGAAAGAGAGAGAGAAAGACAGAAAGAAGGAATGAAAAGAAAAAGAAAGAAAAGAAGAAAGGAAAGGAAAGGAGAGGAGTCATACGGTTTATGAAAGACCTACTGGGCGTTACTCATGTTTTCTGCCCATTGTTGTGTCCCCTTCACTAAAAATTCCTGCTCAGAAAGTGTGATCATGGAGTTGAAAATATATCGTTTGCGCCCTTGGAGCAGAAAGAGTATCTGCATTCTTTTGGGTGGGAGCGTTTCGTAAACCGCTGGACAGTGTAGCCACACAGAAGATGAAAGAGCCAGAATCCACAGAAGAATGCGCTTCTCTCCATGAGCTGGGCGATATGATAAACTTTAACTCTGTCGCATTTAATACCCTCCAGGGAGTGCACGCTCTTATCATTCCCACTTTCGAGGCTTTCGTATAACTTGTAGCTTGCTTCGTAAAACCAAGACAGTGTGAGTGCAAAGCCTGCTCTCTGCTTGTCCTACGCACGGACTCAAGGCTGTGGTGCTTTTGCCATTCTTGTACCACACTCTTAGTAGGCACCTCCTGCATGCCCCTGCATTCGGGGTAAGATGGGGAGTAAAACTAGCCATGGAACCTGCCCTCCTGTGCTTTAGTGGGAGGGAGATCGAATCTCCAACCAAGTGACCCCACAAATAAACGTATAGATGACAAACCACCATAGGTACTTGGGTCGAGAGGTACATCAGGCCGTGAGAACAGATGGGCGGAGAACTTGGTCTAGTTAATTCTAATGAATTGAGGAAGGGGCCTGTAGGTGGGGCGGGGGGTGGCTGATATATTCAGCAGAGAACAGAGGTGGCCAGTTTGGCTGGAAGGTGGGGGTGTGAGGGAGGCACTGACAGAATCCTGCGGGGGGCCAAGGAGACTGGAAGGAAAGTTGTAGACTCAGAAGCGAGCTTAGTATGACATGTGGATTAAAGATATGCACTCATTCATAGCTTCTCTCCTTTAATAGCAGTAACCAGTGAGAAACAGAAGTGGAAAGACTGCTTTCATAAGAGAAAGTGACGATATAATTCTTAAAAAAAAAAAAAAAAGGCCTAGTGAAAAAGATTAAGAAATTTCACTTAACCTAAAATTAGCTGCGAACAAGTGGAGGGCCATGTGATGTGATTGTACAGAAAATCAATATAATCAAAAAGTCCTTCTTCGGAAATCAGTGTATAAATGTAACACACCTCTACCAGAATCCCAGTGTGGGTTCCTTGGAAGTGGAAACGTGATTTTAAAGTCTCTGTGAAATATGAATGCTTAACAACGTCATCAAGCTATTTCTGAAAAATAATTTTAGTAAGGGGGCACTTATTTACCAAATATTCAATACTAATGGTTACTATAAAACAACTGTAATTTTATTTCTTTAATTTTTTAAAGTTTTTATTTAAGTCATCTCTACACCCAGTGTGTGGCTTGAACTCATGACCTCACGATCAAGAGTCGCATGCTCTACCAACTGAGCCAGCCAGGCGCCCCACAACTGTAATTGCAATATCATGGTGTAGCCACAGTGAAAGACATATCAGTAGAAAAAGTACTGGGTTCAGAATATATGTGAGAATGTAGTGTATTTTGAAAAAATAAAAATTCAGTGGGTATATCTTTATTTTCAAGACTTTAACAGCCTACTATTAGAGACCTCTGATAATTGGATTATGATTTTTATAATGTATTATTAACAGTATATTATTTCTGTATATTTCTCTGTAATGTATTTCAAACTTATATTTATCATTATATTAACTTTGAAATTTTACTTTTCTAGGAAAAGGAGTACGTTTTCATATATAACTTACTGTTTCTATGCAGTGATACTATGACATTTTTAGTAGCTCAGAATGAAATGTGAATGTTAATTTACAAAATCTGTCTTTGACCTCTGGGTAAGATGAGAAATATAAGGACACATTTTTAAAGGTTTAAGAAATTCATAGATATGCCTACAGTGACAAATTGGATATTTCCAAACAGTATATACATAATCCAATCAGAGCAATTAAGATTTGTCAGATACTCTTGAAGAACTGAGAACTCTGGTATAGATGAATAACTGTGTGTTAGAAGTTGCCAAAAGGTTAGCCACATTAAAACAGGGTCTCTAAGGTGATAATTAAAACAGATCCATTGTTCTCAAGGTTATAATAATAAATTCATACACAAATGGATTACTCAGTCCTCAGAAATATATCTTCGGGTCCTTTAAAAACTCTCATTACGTCATTACCGTCCTCATCATTACCCAGTTAACTCCTGAATTCCCCAAAGAGCACAGGGAATGAGGATATAAAATTTTGTTTCACTTGTATAAATGATACTTTAAGATCGAAAATTCTAACTCCTGGTTTATAACTGTAGGATTTGAGGGATGCATGGCAAGAGTAAGGTGGTTCCACAGGACAAAGAAATTTGAGACATGAGCGAATCGTAACCCTGGGGATGGATAAATTGAGGGGTATACATAATTCACTGTGTTTCCTGAAATTAATCGCAATGATCACTTTTCTTTGATAGTAAAGGTTATTTTACTTCATCTCTCTCTTTTTTTATATAGGGAGGATGTGAGGACAGCAAACGTGATTGCCGCAGAGGCTGTGACCTGCCTTGTCATCGACAGAGAGTGAGTACACTGCGTTATTGTGCGTACTGTGCGCTCCGATTCATGCTGTGCATAAATTCTTGGAATTAGACGTTTTATGGAGTTATTAACACGTTTGATATTCTTTCATTTTAAAATGGGCTGTATATTTGATTCTCATTCCCTATCATTCTTGGAAGTGGCTGGCTCTGCCATTCTGGCCTTGAGAGTTTCCACAGGGTGCTTAACCAGTGTGAGCCCCACTGCAGTTAGCTTGTTTACAAGCACGGGCCATCATGCAATGTCACAGAAATGTTGTCAGGATTCATGAGACACAAAGAAATCATGGATCCCAGTGGTTTTTTGTGTTTTGTTGTTGTTGTTGTTGTTTTTGGTTTTGGTTTTTTTTTTCTTTTTTTTTTTTTTGTTTTTACTGGGCAGTATCTTAACAATGCTAGCTATTTGGGTAAATTTTTAGAGTAATAATTATTATTACTGCTATAGAATATATAATAATATTAGTATTATTATTACTACTAAGAAATGGATCATTCCTTCAGCATGTTCTAGTTCTCGATTCTCCCATCCTCAGATTCCTATAAGGGAAACATTTAAGGAAGATGCTTTGGGAGAAAACATTTCAGACATAGGCGTATATTTAGGGCCATGACAAGTGTGTTTGATGATGTCCATCCCTGTTCCTTCTCTCCATCTGGCTTTGCTAGTCTCGTTGCCTGCGTGCTTTATTGGTTAAACTGCAAATACCCGGTTACTGATGCTCCAAGGGCCTGGGTAAAATGTGTGTGCGCGATCTGGAAGCAGTCCTCCAGACTCTTCCTCGTTGCTGTATGTGGAGAAGTGTATCAGAAAAGCCAAGTGGCTGACTCAAGAGAAAGAACTGCAAACACCCCTTTCGTGAAGCCAATAGATCTGGATAGGCTGTGGGTGTCGGGATAGCCTGCCCCTGCGGACCGGATGTGAGCAGTCCAGAATGACGGAGGTGCATGTGGGGCTCAGCAAGCTCTAGGTAGAGAAGGATCCCACCTGATATACCAATCTCAATTCTGGAGGCCCCTAGAACAAGATCAGTGGCATAACCGCAGAACGGGGTGTCCGTGAATGTCTCTAACACAGATATTCTTTATCTGGTTCCTACAAACAACCATTACCCAGTTGTTTCCTTCATTTGCCTAACATCTTACTGAGGATCTACCACATGCAAGTCTTTGGGTTCGGTGCCATGAGAAGAATCCGAGGAGCAGCACAGATGCTGGTTTTGGAGGTTTGCTTCTACGAGAGAATCTGTGACCTATGCACAAGGCAGAAAGTGGGAAGGGTCCAGAGTACACACTTAGGGGAGTCCCGCGAAGGGAGTGACGACTACTAAGGAGAATCAGGGAAGTCTTTGTGAAGGACAGGGCATGATTGGGTGGATCTGGAAGTACAGGCAATAGAAATAGTTTGAACAGGACAACAGTTCTCCTAAGGGAATAACCATTTCAGCTGGCCGGGGGATGGGGGAGAGGCTAGGTCAGGGTGGTTGGCAGAGGTGCTGGGGCAGGTGAGTTCACAGACACTTTGGGGCTGGTTCATTCAATGTTGGGATGAGGGTAACTGAGAGTTTTATGCGACAAAATAGTGCCACTCTATCACTGTATTGCTAGACTAATCTGAGAATACTGAGTAAGATGAGTAAGAGGCAGAATATCTGCTTAGCATCTGTACATCCAAGCGGTGATCATGAGACCTGTTACAAGGGGACTGCATTAGAATGAAGAGGTGAAACCAAAGGGCTTACTTCTTGACTGAATGTAAAAGGCATAGAAGGAATTAGGGGTGTACTCAGGATCGAGAATATCTGGAGGGAGTATAGAGGAATCCATTTGGGAGGCACAGTGGTAATCCATTACAAATATAATGAATGTGACGTACAAGATGGACACTCAGGAACAGATGCCCAGCAGGAGATAGAAAAAGTAAGACAAGAGCTCTTGTTAGAGTCAACTTAAAATTCACTTAAAAATTGCTCGTGTAAAGTTAACAGCTGAAGCCACGGCATTGGATGGAATTGCATGAAAGAAGAGAGAAGAAGATAAAAGGACCAAGTTTAGAAGTTGGGAAAATTCTTACATTTAAGAATGAGGCAGGAGGATGAAAAAAAAAAACGGTAAATAATACCAAAGCGTTGGCTATCAGAGCCATGCTGGAAACCTCACAAGCCAAGAGAAGATTCACGAGAGGAAGGACAGTCAGCTGCATTCTGTGCAGGTGGAAGCCAAGAGGTATACAGATAGAGGAAAAAAGTTTCAGTCAAGTGGTGAGAATGGTGTCCAGCCTGCAGGGAGTGAGTAGGCACTGGGGAAGTGAGATCACCCAGACTAAGGGCTCTTTCCTTCAGGAACTTGGTAGAAGCTAAGGAGGGAAGGAGGGACGAAGGGAGGTGCGGCATGAGGCATTGGTGGGCTCCTGGAGAGTGTCCGCGTGATGAGTACGCACACACATCCAGGAAGATGGAGCAAACGAAATACTAGAGGGAATATTTGATGGAAATGGGGCCACAGAGGAAGAGATGGTGAGCAAACAAGAAAAGAATACTTGGAGAACATGGGTTTCTTTTTTTTTTTTTTTTTCTATTTCTAAAAGGAGAGGTAGAAAATTTGTAGAGATGTAGATCAGGAAAGTTACAGGAACTCAGATGGTCTTGACCTTGCCTCTAAAGTATAAAGCAAGAGGGGCGCCTGGCTGGCTCAGTCAGTAGAGCATGTGACTCTTGATCTTGGGGCCATGAGTTTGAGCCCCACATTGGGTGTAGAGATGACTTCGAAGTAAAATCTTTAAAAAAAAAATAATAGGGGCACCTGGGTGGCTCAGTTGTTAAGCATCTGCTTTCGGCTCAGGTCATGATCTCAGGGTCCTGGGATCGAACCCCACATCGGGGTCCCTGCTCAGTGGGGAGCCTGCTTCTCCCTCTCCCGCTCCCCCTGCTTGTGTTCCCTCTCTCGCTGTGTCTGTCAATTAAATAAATAAAATCTTAAAAAAATAAAATCAAGTCTAAAGTGAGAAAATCTGACTCGATTTTCTGAGGCTGTGGATGTGCCAGGTGACTGGGGTGGACAGGTAATCATATCGGTCTATATCCCTACAGTCCTTTAATAATTTATGAATTTCCACATGCATGGGATCCCAGCTGGAAAGTAGACAGGATGTTCAATAGAAGAGAAAGTGGAAGCCCATGGAAGTTGAATAACTTGATAAGATTTCCTGGTAAAGAGTAAGCCCAGAGTAATCAGAGAAACAAACTAGGTGGGATTTTGTGGGCAGTCTGGTCCTGCTTCTTCAACTGAGTTGAGTGCGGTCCTGAGGAGTGAGGGAATGCCACATAGCATCGTATACACACTTTTGCCCTCATCCAATTTTCTCTTTTTTTTCAAACCTAATCATATATATGGTGTGCTCTGGGTGATGCATGGGCTTTGTCAAATAAAACCCAATAGTTGAATCCTGACTACACGATGTTTTGAGATTATGGGCAGTTACATAAATTCTAAGTCTCAGTTTTCCTATCTGCGAAATGGGATTATGTAACATTAAGGTTGTTTTGAAGATCAAACAGTTTATTATATGTGAAGGTCCGTGCACATCACAGGATGTGTAGTAAGCATTCAACGAATGTGCTCTCCTCTTCTTGCAGAAGGCACAGGACCCCCTCTGATTTAGCAGTTTTTCTATCTGGCAGAAGTTTGTCCTTCGGAATATATACAGAGCGTACCCCTGGAGAGGGGAGAAGTATAGAGAACATGGCCTGACTGCAGAAGTCAGAATGTGCATTTCTGTAGAAGTCAGAATGTGCATTTCTGTATCTTAGAGGAGAAGCAGGTCTTCCCACCAAATGTTGAACTCACACCTTAAAAAACAAAACAAAACAAAGCAACCAACACCAACAACCACTGTAACTTAAGGCTCCTGTCAAGAGCCTGCTGCTGGAACCTAATTTATGGCCAATTAGGGGAGCACCAGGGCTTCATCCCCTGCAAACAGATGGCAGACATTAGAACTGTCAACACAGGGCGCCTGTGTGGCTCAGATGGTTAAGCGTCTGCCTTCAGCTCAGGTCATGATCCCAGGGTCCTGGGATCGAGTCCCACATCAGGCTCCTTCTCCCTCTGCCCTCTCTCTCTCTCTCTCTCTCTCTCTCTCTCTCTCTCTGTCTCCCTGTCTCTGTCTCTCATGAATAAATAAATAAAATCTTTAAAAAAAAAAAACTGTCAACACAAGGAGTTTCTTTCTTAAATTTACAAGTGAGGTACCATGTTATATAAGCCAGTAATTATGCTTTATCATTCCAGAGGGAGAGCAAAAGAACTATTGTAACTAATCATGCATGTCAGAATTTCTTTTAGAAAATGCTCATTGACAAACTAGAAAATGATAAACAGATACATGGTTTTCCCAAAAAGTATTCTCTGATGATTAGATTCTTGTAGCCTCATCATGATCTTAGTAACTATGTGCAGTGATTCTAGATTTTGTGAAAATTGACTAAAAAAGAAGAATATCTGTTTAACAGGATGGTCTATTTCCATTAATAAAATTTGCAAATATTAAAAAAAAATAACTAGGTGTCTTTAGCACCTCTCATTTTAGAATCCATGAAAATATATAAATGTAAAAGTAAGTACATCACTGCATTCTATAATAGGTTATGCAATGCCTACTTTTTCATTGACGTGAATTGTTGATAAAGCTAGAGATTCAAGGAAGATCATTTATTTTCTGACATGTTGAGATCATTGTTAAAGATAGTAACATAACTGCTAGTAAGTATTATAAGAGTTTTATATTTTTTCCCAGGAAATGAAGATCTAAGTTAGAGTCCTAACTATCCCCGATTTACTGTGTAACTTCCAAGATGTAGCCATACTGGTTATGAAAATTAAAATATTTTCTTACTGGTTGGTAAATAGCAGTGGTCTGAGTTCCCTGTGGGTCCCTTGTACTCCCCTACTGCCCTGGTCATCTGATGTCCCCACCCATGACTCTCC